AAAGTTTTAAGCATAAGAGCTAGTGCTTAATATTTTTAAACTTCATTCTTGTTTATAAATTTCCTAAAGCAAAAGAATATAAGACTAACTTAATTACCTGCCATGGAAGCTAAATTACAGCTTAAAAACCTCCTCTTAAAATAACTTAAGTTTTAGCGAATCATTTATAAGGTATGTTGTGGCATTGTTGTAAGCACCTGCCTGAATGTTTGTTGTTCTGAAATAATGCTATTATTTATTCTATTCGAATGTAGGCTCTGTGAGGGAAGGGGTTTTGCCCGTTTTCTTCACTTTTCTTTCTCCACATCCCACACTTCATGTTTCAGTGCACAGTGGTGTAGAGTGGGAGCTGGCTTGCAGCCTGAGAGAATAGTTAGTACCTTGTTTTAGTTGGTTCTGCTGCTTCTCTGACCGCTCCTGGCCTCCCCAATAGCCACTGCCACTACCCCACAGGCAACATCTTTGATATTCTGGTTGGGGAGATAACTGAAGCCTAGGAGTTTAGATTAGGGTGGTATCACTTCTTCTCACAGATGCACCTTTACTTCCAGCATTTACTCCTAACTCTCAAAACATTGTGGTATTAAACATTTTATGACTCCTAGAATTATGGCTATAGAGTTCCAGCCTCTGTCTCAGTCTTTTTCTATCAAATGAAGGAAAAAAAAAAACCTCAATTCTAGCTTTTGCAACGTGTTGAGTCTACACTCAGAGGTTAATTCCTACCTTCCCAAATCCTGATCGCAGCCCTTGATCGACCGAAATGAGAGGGAAAAGGGAGAGGGAGAGAAGAGTCTTTTTTATCTTGAAGACAGGATGAGTCATATCTAGAGAGCTGAGGAAGGTGGGAGGCCTCTTCTGTGCACTTCTGTTGTCACTTGAATGGAATAACTAAGGCCATTTTGAAACTCGAAACTGCATTTTATCACAATGCAGAATTGGGTTTGGGATCATCCAGGCTTATACAACATAAGGGGAAGATGGAGTGACTATAGTATGGCAAGTATGAATCTGTCTTGCGAGAGTCCACATGGTACAGTGGGTACAGTGGATACAGCATGCTTATCTAAGCTTAATTATTGGTTCCATGTATATACTTGGGCAAGTCACTTAACCTCTCTGGTCCTAACCCCTCATCTATGAAGCCTACTTGGGGTTATGAAGCTTTAATGTAATTATGATAAAAGGGCTTAGTAGTTATAGAAGCAATTGTTATGGTTTAAATGGTGAATGAAGAGATTGTTTATTGGCTCAGGAATTACGTGATAACTATTCAAGAATTGTTCTTTTGGTTGTTCTGGGAGATTAGGATTCTTGTCTGGCCTCACTACTGACTAGATAGTATTAATAGTTAAGTCATTTAACTTTTTAGACCCTGGATTCACTTTATTCACAACTGTTGAAGTTGAGGATCTTTCATTTAGTAAGCTTGGGAATTCTATTTTGTTTTGCTATTAAAAAACCTGGGTCTCTTGTTGTTAACAATACCTCTGCTAAGTAAATTGAGTTCTGACTCATCTGCTGGATCTAAATAGTCATGGGAATGTGAAGCTTTTCACAAATAATACTGTGATTTTTCAGATAAGTACATGCAAATAGAGCCAATTGCTTAATTGATATTTTACAATTATGTATTAAAGCATCTTGTTCAAGGTTTGAGGACAGTATAAACTTATTTAAAATGTCTAGTGAACACAGCCTATCACAGGGATATGGGAAAAAGGCAAAATTCTATTAAGATATTATTTTTAACGGAATGTTCTTCATTTCCAAGCAGTCTGTTCCTAAAAGGAGTGTAAATCATGTGTCTGTTCTGTGCTTAGAATTCTCTCTTTCTGCCGTTTGTTTATTGTATAAACCAAGAAGATGATGTATTATCAAGAGACAACTTCTATTCCCAGCCTAAAATTTCAAATATTATTCATCCTCTGTTCTCATGAAAAATTACTTTCAGTGTCTGATACTAAAATTACTTTTGGTATCTTTGTCTTTTCGGTATTTCTGTTTGTGTATAGTATTTGCAGCAACTAACATCAAGAGCTGGTTTGGTCTCTCATTTTTTTCACGGTAACAGGAGAGAGTTAAGTTATTAAGAATCACATCTGATATACAAAAATACTTTGAACATGAGCTGTGTACAAATTTTTTATTGAGTTATTAACTTATTGGACATTGCTCCTGCTGTGGGGACTTTATCATATAAATTTAAAAACTACTATAAACAAATGGAGAATATGAATCGACATAGAGGAAAAGCTCAATTTTATGCCAAAGTGATAGCTAGCACTATAGCATGCTTACTGTAGGCAATACGTTAAGAGCCTTGTGTGATTTCATTTAAGCCTCCTAACTGCACTGCTTGGTTGGGTATTATTAATCATTTTTATAAATGAAGAAGCTGTTTTAGACAGGTTAAGTAATTTGCCCATGTTGACACAGCTAGTGAGCAGAAGTGCTAGGGGTTGAATCCAAACCACCCAATTGCAAAGCCCATGGTGAAGCTGCATTTTAAAGTAACAGAAATTTCCTTCATACAACACTGTATTTATTTATTTTTTTTCTATCAAATGATGTGGCAAATTTAGAGATTTCTGGAGAAATTCTGGCCCAAACAATGTTATCGCTGAAATCATTCAGATTATTTTCAACATTAGCATTTAATGAGTAAGACTGTGTCTTAAACATATTTAGAAAAGAATTAGAGGAAGGTAACTTAATTCTCCATTAACTGGTGTCTTAGTTGTAAAACCACATTTTGACAAGGTTATTGGTTATAAATTATTTTAACACCTTTTCCAAACTTAATTTTATGAAGTTAATAAAATGCTGAGAAAAATTTAGATTGTTTAAAAGCATTGAATGAATTAAAACCTAAGTAAAGCTATGTACTTTGCATACATATGATCACCATCTAAGATGGTTACTTATCCTTGAAAGGATAATGTTTAAAATAATATTTAAAATAATGTAAACCTAATTTATTAACATTGAAATTTTTACTAAGTATAATTATATATAAATCTGATACTGTCTTACTACAAGAGATACTGAGTGACGTAAATATTAAGCATAAATGATTTAATTGGACTTTTAAAATCTACTCTCCCACAGTTAAAAGTCAGTTAAATAGGTTGTTTGTAGAGTTCTTTATAGTTTAGATTTCCTTTTTCTTCTTCCTTCTCTTTCTTCACCCCCTCCTCCATCAGCATCATAGTCATGATCATCATCATCCCCATCACCACTGTCATCATACTCATCATGGCTATCTTCTACATTGTTTTCCTCATGACATCTGCATCAGTAATTTAACTGTAAGCAATGGAAATTAAGGAGCAGTTTATTTGGAAAGATATCTTGTAGTTTTTAATTTGAGGACAGCCTGAAGAACAAGGCCTTGTAGAGCTGTGCCAAGACCGGCTGCTAGGCTTAAGATGTGGGATAGTTGTCAGCAGATATTGATCACTCAGGGCTAAGGTTCCTTGGTTGAGCTCTGGTGCAGAGGGACTGGTCTAGTTCTATAAACCAGTGTGCAAGGCAAATGTTAAATTTTTTGTGTGTGGTAAGACCTACAAACATCTGGGAAGCACTGCAGAAGAGGAGGAAACAGCGGATCTAGAGGGGAAGGTTGCAGAAAGCAGTAGATGGTCTTTTCAGGTTTCAGCATTGAGGCAAATCAGTTTTTGGATCTTGTACACACATGCTGTTTAATCATGCGTTGGGCTTTCAGGAGAGAGTTTTATTTATTATTCTTGGGCTATGTATCCATTCCTTTGTCAAGGGAATGTGGTACTCTTTGACTGACAGCCCCTCCAACATTGTATCTTCTTAGGAAAGCATAAACTTCCAAAGGAAAAATTACATAAAGGAGAAGACATGGGTGATAGGCAAAAAAGCAACATGCTATGTCATATCACTTTACCATGCATAGAAATAATAAATAAAAATGATATTTTTCCTTTGATATAGTAGTCACAGGAGCTCTTTTGCCCTAAATTCATAGCTATATTTATAGTGTTTTTCTGAATATTCTGTAGTTTTTCTAATGACCCCTGGTGAAAGCAGACTTTTAACCATAACTTGTTTTTAATGCTACAGAAGAATATAATAAGTTTTAGCTTTTATAGACCACTAATTTTTCATGGCTTTTGTATTTTAAATAAGTTATTATTAAAATAGAAATTTAAGTCTACTGAACTTGAATTGAATTAATTAAGTTGTCTTTATGCAACATTTCATAATAAATTATATGCTGAAATAATTATAATCATTACTTTATTACAAAATAACTCACTGGGATGTTGTATCAGTATTAGTGTTTATGTTTTATTGGGACATGTACAATGTGCCTCAGGTGTCAACAAGGATGGACATCAAATCACCATTTCCCTTTTTATACAACTCTCAAAAGGTGAAAATTTCCCCTCTGATTTGCTGGTATCCTAATATATTATTAGTTCATTTACTTTATTATTTTATTATGATTTTCTTTATTTCTATTTTATCCCAATTGTGTCCCCATCTCCCTTAAGGTATCTATTCTTCTTTTTTCACATGTCATAGTTTTGTAATAAGATTCTTTTTGAGAATTTAAATGTTTTCCCTCTAAATTCTGTATTACGAAGTGTGATTGTAATGTGAGTGATTTTTAAAGTTGTCTGTGCACTGATTTTTTTAAAGATAATTCCAGCAGCTTGAGTGAAATGGCTCATGCCTATAATCCCAGCACTTTGGGAGGCCTAGGCAGGAGGATCACTTGAGACTTGGAGTTCAAAACTAGCCCAGGCAACATAGTAAGACCCCATGTCTACAAAAATAAAAATAAAAGAATTAGCCAGGTATGGTGATGCCTGCGTTTGGCCCCATCTACTCTGGAGGCTGAGGTTGGAAGATTGCTTGAGCCCAGGAATTAGAGGTTACAATGAGCTGTGTTCACACCACTGCACTCTATCTAGGCTTACTGACAGAGTAAAATCCTGTCTCTCTTAAAAATAAAACAATAGGGAAGAACTCAAGATGGCGCGGTGAAAACAACCCAGGATTGACGTTCTCGGTGAATGCATGGAGAGGGTGAGTCAGGGCCGCATTTCCAGACGGATCTTTGTTGCCCACAGAACGGGGAAATTCCCAAATATAAAAGAGATGCGAGACTCCAGGCAGAGGTTTTGGCTGGTGCAACTGGCAGTCAGTGTGGCCGGCGGCCGGCGGCCGGCGCTGTAGCGCAGCAGTGCTACACAGTGCTCCGCACAAAGCGCACTGGTCCGGGTGCCCTGTTGAACCGGCAATATGAGACTTGAGAGGGCTGAACTTGAGACTGAACGGGACTTGGACAGTGAGCCAGGCCAGGAGATTCCAGAGAAACAGCGTTTGGGGTAGTGCAGTGGGACAAACAAAACGGCGATTCCAAACGCTCCGGGTGGAGAGGTTCCCTGAGGGCACAGCTGAACCCAGGACGGTGCAACTCCGTGGGGGAGGGGCGTCCACTATTACCGAGGCAATCTGCCCCTACTGAGGTACACGCCCATTGCTGACGCAGCCTGCTGTTGCCGAGGCAACCCGCTACAACAGAGAGACTCTGCCGCAGGGCGTAGCCCGTGGCAGCAGGGTGGAGACTGCAGCAGCAGGGCAGAGCCTGCAGCAACAGGGCAAACCTCACACCAGCAGGGCGGAGCCTTGGCAGGCAAATAGTGACTAGACTGCCTCCTAGCTGGGCAGGACAGCACAACGGACACTCACAAAGAAAGCCCCAACCACCCCCCGCCCCCGAGACAAAGCATCTGAGAAAAAAAGTGTTTTTTTTTATGAGTTCTGCTGCAGCAGAATTAAACGTAGCAGTCTAACAACCCTGAATGAACAACAGAGCTCACAGCTCAGCACTTGAGCTCCTATAAAGTACAGACTGTCTCCTCAAGCAGCTCCCTGACCCCTCTATATCCAGAAGACTGACATTTGGCAGGCATCATTCTGGGACAAAGATAGCAGAAAAAGAAACTGGTAGCATCCCTCACTGTTCTGCAGGGGCTACAGGTACACCCCAGACAAGCAGGGCCTGGAGTGGACCTCAGCAGTCATACAGTGGAGGGGCTAGACTGGTAGAAGGAAAACCAAGTAACAGAAATACTTCATCATCAACAATCTGGGTGTCCACTCAGAGACCCAATTGAAAAGTCAGCAACTACACAGACGACAGGTGGATAAATCCACAAAGATGGGAAGAAACCAGCGCAAAAAGGAGGAAAACACTTGAAACCAGAACACCTAGTCTCCTACAAAGGACCAAAACTCCTCACCAGCAAGCGAACAAAGCTGGATGGAGAGTGACTGTGACGAAATGATGGAATTAGACTTCAGAAGGTGGATAATGAGAAACTTTTGTGAGCTAAAAGAACATGTTTTAAATCAATGCAAAGAAACTAAGAACCTTGATAAAAGATTCAAGGAATTGATAACAAGAATGGATACGTTAGAGAGGAATATGACTGAATTAAAGGAGCTGAAAAACACAATATGAGAAATTGGCGAAGCATGCACAAGTTTCAATAGCCGAATTGACCAAACAGAAGAAAGAATATCTGAAGTCGAAGATCAATTCAATGAATTAAAACGAGAAACCAAGATCAGAGAAAAAAGCACAAAAAGGAATGAACAAAGTCTTCAAGAAATGTGGGACTATGTGAAGAAACCTAACCTACGTTTGATAGGTGTACCAGAATGTGACGAAGAGAATGAATCCAAGCTGAAAAATACTCTTTAGGACATTATCCAGGAAAATTTCCCCCACCTAGCAAGACAGGCCAACACTCAATTGCAGGAAATACAGAGAACACCACAAAGATATTCTGCAAGAAGAGCAACCCAAAGGCACATAATCGTCAGATTCAACAAGGTTGAAATAAAGGAGAAAATGCTAAGGGCAGCCAGAGAGAAAGGTTGGGTCACCCACAAAGGGAAGCCCATCAGACTCACAGCAGATCTCTCGGCAGAAACACTACAAGCCAGAAGAGAGTGGGGGCCAATATTCAACATCCTTAAAGAAAACAACTTTCAACCCAGAATTTCATATCCAGCCAAACCGAGCTTCAGAAGTGAAGGAAAAATAAAATCCTTTACGAACAAGCAAAGACTCAGAGATTTTGTCACCACCAGGCCTGCTTTACAAGAACTCCTGAAAGAGGCACTACACATAGAAAGGAACAACCAGTACCAGCCATTCCAAAAATCACACTAAATGCTAAAGAGCATCAACATAATGAAGAATCTGCAACTACTAACGGGCAAAACAGCCAGCTAGCATCAAAATGGCAGTATCAAATTCACACATAACAATATTAACCCTAAATGTAAATGGACTAAATGCACCAATCAAAAGACACAGAATGGCAAATTGGATAAAAAACCAAAACCCATCAGTGTGCTGTATCCAGGAAACCCATCTCACATGCAAGGATACACAAAGGCTCAAAATAAAGGGATGGAGGAAGATTTACCAAGCAAATGGAGAGCAATAAAAAGCGGGAGTTGCAATTCTCATCTCTGATAAAATAGACTTTAAAGCAACAAAGATCAAAAGAGACAAAGAAGGCCATTACATAATGGTAAAAGGATCGATACAACAAGAAGAGCTAACGATCCTAAACATATATGGACCCAATACAGGAGGACCCAGATACATAAGGCAAGTTCTTAATGACTTACAAAGAGACTTAGACTCCCACACAATAATAGTGGGAGACTTTAACACTCCACTGTCAATATTAGACAGATCAACCTGACAAAAAATCAACAAGGATATCCAGGGCTTGAACTCAGACCTGACAGACATTTACAGAACTCTCCACCCCAAATCCACAGAATATACATTCTTCTCAGCACCACATCACACCTACTCTAAAACTGACCACATAATTGGAAGTAAAGCACTCCTCAGCAAATGCAAAACAACTGAAATCATAACAAACAGTCTCTCAGACCATAGTACAATCAAGTTAGAACTCAGAATTCAGAAACCAACCCAGAACCGCACAGCTTCATGGAAACTGAACAGCTGGCTCTTGAATGTTGACTGGATAAACAATGAAATGAAGGCAGAAACAAGGAAGTTCTTCGAAACCAATGAGAACGAAGACACAACATGCCAGAATCTCTGGGACACATTTAAAGCAGTCTCTAGAGGAAAATATATAGCAATAAGTGCCCATATGAGGAGAATGGAGAGATCCAAAATTGACACCCTATCATCATAATTGAAAGAGCTAGAGGAGCAAGATCAAAAAAACTCAAAACCCAGCAGAAGACAAGAAATAACTAAGATCAGAGCTGAACTGAAGGAGATAGAGACACGAAAAACCCTTCAAAAAATCAATAAATCCAAGAGCTGGTTTTTTGAAAAGATCAACAAAATAGACAGACCACTAGCAGATTGATTAAAAAGATAAGAGAGAACAACCAAATAGATGCAATAAAAAATGATAAAGGGGAAATCACCACAGATTCCACAGAAATTCAAACCATCATCAGAGAATATTACAAACAACTCTATGCACATAAACTAGTAAACCTGGAAGAAATGGATAAATTCCTGGACTCCTGTGTCCTCCCAAGCCTAAACCAGGAGGAAGCTGAAACTATGAATAGACCAATAACAAGGTCAGAAGTCGAGGCAGCAATTAAGAGCCTACCACACAAAAAAAGCTCAGGTCCAGATGGGTTCACAGCCGAATTCTACCAGACACACAAAGAGGAGCTGGTACCATTCCTTCTGAAACTATTCCAAATAATCCAAAAAGAGGGAATCCTTCCCAAAACATTTTATGAGACCAGTATCATCCTGATACCAAAACCTGGCAGAGACCCAACAAGAAAAGAAAACTTCCGGCCAATATCCATGATGAACATAGATGCAAAAATCTTCAATAAAATATTGGCAAGCCGATTGCAACATCATATCAAAAAAATTATCCATCATGATCAAGTAGGATTCATCCCGGGGATGCAAGGCTGGTTCAACATATGCAAGTCTATAAATGTAATTCACCACATAAACAGAACCAAAAACAAAAACCACATGATTATCTCAATTGAGGCAGAGAAGGCATTTGACAAAATTCAACAGCCCTTTATGCTAAAAACCCTCAATAAACTCGGTATCGATGGAACGTATCTCAAAGTAATAAAAGCTATTTATGACAAACCAACAGCCAATATCATACTGAATGGGCAAAAACTGGAAGCATTCCCTTTGAAATCCGGCACTAGACAAGGATGCCCTCTTTCACCACTCCTATTCAATATAGTACTGGAAGTTCTAGCCAGAGCAATTAGGCAAGAAAAAAAAATAAAGGGTATTCAAATAGGAAAGGTGGAAGCCAAATTGTCTCTATTTGCAGACGACATGATAGTATACCTAGAAGACCCCATCGCCTCAGCCCCAAAACTCCTGAAACTGATAAGCAACCTCAGCAAAGTCTCAGGATATAAAATCAATGTGCAAAAATCACAAGCATTTCTGTACACCAATAACAGACTTAAAGAAAGCCAAATCAAGAACAAACTGCCATTCACAATTGCTACAAAAAGAATAAAATACCTAGGAATACAAGTCACCAGGAACGTAAGGGACCTCTTCAAGGAAAACTACAAACCACTGCTCAACGAAGTCAGAGAGGACAAAAACTGATGGAGAAACATTCCATGTTCATGGTTAGGAAGATTAATATCGTGAAAATGGCTATACTGCCCAAAGTAATTTATGGAATCAATGCTATCCCCATCAAGCTACCATTGACTTTCTTCACAGAACTGGAAAAAACCACCATGAACTTCATATGGAACCAAAAGAGAGCCCGCATAGCCAAGTCAATTCTAAGCAAAAAGAACACAGCGGGGGGGGGGGGGGGCATCGCACTATCGGATTTCAAACTATACTACAAGGCTACAGTAATCAAAACAGCATGGCACTGGTACCATAACAGAGATATAGACCAATGGAACAAAACAGAGGCATCAGAGGCCACACAACATATCTACAACCATACAGTCTTTGATAAACCTGACAAAAACAAGCAATGGGGAAAGGATTCCCTGTTAAACAAATGGTGTTGGAAAAACTGGCTAGCCATGTGCAGAAAGCAGAAACTGGACCCCTTCCTGATACCTTATACTAAAATCAACTCCAGATGGATTAAAGACTTAAACATAAGACCTGGCATCATAAAAACCCTAGAAGGAAATCTAGGCAAAACCATCCAGGACATTGAAGTAGGCAAGGACTTCATGAACAAAACACCAAAAGCATTGGCAACAAAAGCCAAAATAGACAAATGGGACCTAATCAAACTCCACAGCTTCTGCACGGCAAAAGAAACAGTCACTAGAGTGAATTGGCAACCAACAGAATGGGAAAAATTTTTTGCAGTTTACCCATCTGACAAAGGGCTGATAGCCAGAATTTACAAAGAACTCAAACAGATTTACAGGAAAAAAAAAGGCAAGCCCATTCAAAATTGGGCAAAGGATATGAACAGACACTTTATGGAAGAAGACATATATGAGGCCAACAATCATATGAAAAAATGCTCATCATCCTGGTCATCAGAGAGATGCAAATCAAAACCACATTGAGATACCATTTCACGCCAGTTAGAATGGTGATCATTAAAAAATCTGGAGACAACAAATGCTGGAGAGGATGTGGAGAAAAAGGAACACTTTTACACTGTTGGTGGGAGTGTAAATTAGTTCAACCATTGTGGAAGACAGTGTGGCGATTCCTCAAGGCCTTAGAAATAGAAATTCCATTTGACCCAGCACTCCTTATCCAAAGGACTATTAATCGTTCTACTATAAGGACCCATGCACACGAATGTTTATTGCAGCCCTGTTTACAATAGCAAAGACCTGGAATCAACCCAAATGCCCACTGATGATAGACTGGATTGGGAAAATGTGGCACGTATACACCATGGAATATTATGCAGCAATCAGAAATGATGAGTTTGTGTCGTTTGTAGGGACATGAATGAATCTGGAGAACATCATTCTCAGAAACTGACACAAGAACAGAAAATGAAACACCGCATATTCTCACTCATAGGCGGGTGATGAAAAATGAGAACACATGGACACACGGAGGGGAGTACTAAACACTGGGGTCTATTGGGGGGAAAAGGGGAGGGCCAGCGCAGGGGGCACGGGAGCTGGGGAGGGATAGCCTGTGGAGAAATACCAAATGTGGGTGAAGGGGAGGAAGGAAGCAAAACACACTGCCACGTATGTACCTATGCAACTGTCTTGCATGTTCTGCACATGTACCCCAAAACCTAAAATGCAATAAAAAATTAAAAAAAAAATAAATAAAACAACAAGACTAAGAAGGCCAAGGAAAGCAGAAATCCGCCGAAACTGACAGAGGCATGGATGATTTACCTCTCAGAGTCTCTGGCAAGGAAATAACTTTTTTGACACCTTGATTTTGGAATTTTGGCCTCCTGAACTGTGAGAGAGCACATTTCTGTTATCTTCAGCCAGGTGGATGGAGGGAGGGAGAGATAGTTAGGTAGATTTGATAGATGGACAAACAGATAATCTCTCTATATGTAACAAAAGATCTTTCCTCTTCAAATTTCCCAAAATGTTTGAAACAAAAGCTTCATTGTTAAAACAATTTTTTTTTGGGGTGTTTTGAAGAGGAATGTTTGTTGTTTAAAAATGAGTCTGATTACATTGTCACTGCATGTTATATCTACTTTTTCTATATACTTAAAAAAATGCATTTAATAATCTCCTGGATTGTGTACTTTTTGAAGACAGAGCCCAAGTCTTAGTTGTTTTGGTTTTATACGTTATTGTACTTTTACTAATGGCACAATGTAGTTTATTGCACCTCCATAAAGTATAATATGGAAAAGAGATAATTACCATAATTAATTATGAGGATTATAATGTACTAATTGCTGTTTATATTTTCAAAATCTATTAGAAGTAGGAAAGTTTCTATTGTTTTCTAAAAATGAATCATCCTTGGTGACCTTTCATAATTCATTCCTTTGTTTCCATTGATAGTGGCTTCTACTTTACTGTATTTTAAACCACTTTGGTATTAAATTCTCAAATACTTTCATTTACAAAAAATAAAAGGACAAAAATTCTTCAACACCTGTGAAAAGAAGAGAAAAAAGGAAAAAAATTTAAATCACTACAAACAACTTTTCAGTAAGGAACCTGCTCTTACCAAACAGCAAGCAGTGGGAATAAATAAATGTGGAGAAAACTGATATGTTATAGGAATCATACAACCAGAGGATTTTACCACTGTCTTATCCAAGCCATGAGTTTGGCTTCATGTGATTAGAGAGCAATGGAAATTTAGTTTCCCCAATTGGAATTTCCTCTGGACTATATAGTAGCCTCCTGATCATAAAGAATATGTCTAATAAACTGTGTTTAATGTTTATTAATTTATTAGAGAAATCTGAAGGGTATAAAGATGTCAAATGTAAGGCCAGGAGTGGTGGCTCACACCTGTAATCCCAGCAGTTTGGGAGGCCGAGGCGGGTGGATCACAAGGTCGAGAGATTGAGACCATCCTGGTTAACATGGTGAAACAGCGTCTCTACTAAAAATACAAAAACAAATTAACTGGGCATGGTGGCGTGTGCCTGTAATCCCAGGAGGCTGAGGCAGGAGAATTGCCTGAACCCAGGAGGCGGAGGTTGCAGTGAGCCGAGATGGCGCAATTGCACTCTAGCCTGGGTAACAAGAGCAAAACTCCGTCTCAAAAAAATAAAAAACAAAAAACAAAAAACGGATGTCAAATGTATTATCCTAGTCACTGAAGTTATTTTTGAACAACTGATAAGACAAAAAGCCAGCATCAGAAATTTGACTACTGGTTTCTGGTGACCTAACTGCGCCATTAGGGAAGTGATTTGTTCCCTGATGCTATTTACCTTTGGTTATTTTCCCCCAAAGGCTGCAAGTACTATAATATGCTTGTCTGTGAATTGAGAAACTGTTCATTTCCCTTTGGACCATCAAAGTGGCTGCAAATAACAAACTTAAGTCAATAAGACGAAGAGTTAGAAAAAAAATGATCCATGTTATTTAACTTCCTCTCTTAACGTCACATTTATATGTATTTGTGTGCTTTGTGTGTATACGGTCACGCATCACTTAACGACAGGAGTACATTGTAAGAAACATGTTGTTAGGCAATTTTGTTGTGCAAATATTACAGAGTATACTTACATGAACCTAGAACCTGGATAGACTACTATAAACCTCTGCTATATGGTGTAGCTTACTTACTGTTCCTAGACTACAAACATGCAGCATGTTACTGTACTGAATATTGTAGGCAGTTTTAACACAATGGTAAGTATTTGTGTGTCAAAACATATGTAAACATAGAAAAGATATAGTAAAAATACGGTACAATAATCTTACAAGACCTCTGTGATACATGGTCCCTTGTTGGCCCAAATTTTGTTATGGGTGCATAACTATATATACATACATACATATTAAGTTGTTTGACTATCTAAGGAAAATTTGATCCAAATTCATAAAGTCATCCATTTTTATAAGGCTTCTTTTGTGCTTTAGCTCTTTATTTGTGAAGTAAACTGTCTCCTGGTAGCTCTTCCTTGGTTTAATTGGTTAGCACTTTTCTCCATGCTGGTGAAATCTAGTAGCTCCTTATTCGGCTAGGCAGGGTATACAGTGTTTGACATCTTATGTTGGCTTAGCTTTTTAGTCATGAGATATAATCGTTAATAATATTTAGCCATAATAAATGCAATCATCTCACAGTACATGTTTTAAAAAATAGCAACATATGGTTCAAAACAGAGACTTCTAATTATACAATTATCGAGTAACAGGAAAGGATGTTTTCAAATCTGTATACTTACATTTGTATTCTAAAATCTAGTCGTTTCCTGATACAGTTGTATAGTTTTCTATCATCATTTACACATATCATATCCACATTATTAGAATAAATTTGCTTACTGGAGTTACAGCTTCTTTAATGTTATTTATGTGAGACTTCTTTAAAAAGGGGACAACATCATAATGTTTAGCCTTCCAACAAATTAGTCTATTGAGTATTTGCTGTACACTGATGCCCTAAAGCACAGCAGTGAAAAAACAGTCTGTCCTGTCATGGGGCTTCTAGTCTGATACTGGACTGATTCACCACTTTTGGTTTAAAAGCCTAGTTTCTCTTGTCTTTAATGTCTGCCTGTCTGTATGTCTGTCCTCCTCTTTCTTTCTCTGTGAATACACACACACACACACGCACACACACACAGATAGATGTACACTTATACATATGATACTATATATTGTCTATGTGTATGTATATATAAATATATTCTTTAAAGATCTGTAATTCATATATATTAAAGATATATAACTCATATATCTTTAAAGATATGAATATATTCATTTATATATGAATAAATAATGTAACAGTGTAAGTATCTTATTTGGGATATACATTCTTCAGAGAGACAGAATGAAGAGGTGGATAGATAGATAGATGAGAGGGGATTTATTAAAAGGATTTTTTTCATGTGCTTATGGAGGCTGAGAAGTCCTAAAACAGGCTGTCTGTAAACTGGAGATTCTGGGATGCTGGCAGTAAGTCTCAGACTAAATGTAAAGGTCTCAGAACCAGAGAAGACAATGGTGGTACTCTGAGAACCCAGGGGCAAGGGAGTAGGGAGGTGGCACTGATATAAGTCCTGGAGTCCAAAGGGCCGGAGCCTAGAGTTATTGTCCAAGGACGGAGGAGGAAGGGTGTATCCCAGTCCCAGCAAATAGATGGCCACATTTACCTTTTCTCTGTCTTTTCTTCTTTGGACTCCCAGCATATTGGATGGTGCCTGACTGCAATAAAGACAAATCTTCAAGTTGATACCTCAAATTAACCATCACAACATATGTATGTGTGTGTATTTTATATAGTTTGTAAAATCTATGAATCAGGACATTGTTTATGTATAAGAATAATACATTGAGAATTTTAGTTCTGCCTTTATGTTGTGCTCTGTATCCTATGTTTCCCACTTAATTTTCTGGTTCTGTAATATGTCTGTTACTTTTATTTTTTTTCCCCAGAATCTTTCTTTTGTATTGTTTAAAACAAAACAAAACACAGTAACTGACAAGGCACTGTTTCTGCTGAAAAGCTCAGAAGCATTCAGAGAGATCACTGACAGGTTCTGTTTTCACCAGTTTCTCATCAGCTTTTAATAGTTCAGGTGCCTGAGGAGTAATGGTCATCAAGCTGAGTCAGAGATTCATATTTTCAGGGGCTCGAAGGGGCAGTGGGTTGAGATACTCTCTTTTCTGTTTAGAAGGTACCAGAGGAAATATTCAACAAAATTTTGTTATTCTTACTTAAAAGACATCAACTTTGTAAACATCTTTTCATCACTGGCCTATAGTTCTGTTGAGTAAAATGTTCTAAAGCAGCAAACACTGGGTCTGATGCCATTGAGATTAAAGGTAAGGATCAGGGGAGCAGCCCAAGGGGGCAGGCTGCCCAGATGGCTCCAAGGCTCCCCCAAGCACCAGGAGAGTGAGTACCTGCCTTTTCCCAGCTCAAGCTTGCTGATTTGGGGGCTACTATCTAAGCAGTGATCCTGATGAGGGGAGTAGACAATGCGAGGTGTGTACATGTGTAATACATCAATGTATCTTGATACATTATTTGATGAGAGTTAGTAGAAAGAGCATCCATTGCAGCAGCACTCATACATTCTATCACTGATGTTCAAGTTAACAGCATGAAGACGTAAGTTATATTTTTCACCTTTATACTGTAACTTGGGGATATAATTTTCTTCCAAACTCTTCCATAGTTCTTTCTTTCGAGCTATAGAGTGCCTATACTCTATGCCTTTAGTAACAGTTTGCTGTTTTATTTACAAATGTTTTTTCCTCAATATGAGACCATTGCTGTAAGATGTCCTGGCATAGGAAGTGGTATCATATTGTGGTTTCTAAAAGTGGTCCTGAAACAGCTCAGTATTGAATGCAGTGTGGATATACTTATTAATATTATTAATCTCCCCACTTAATTTTGTTAAAAAACCTGACCTGTGACATTTTCCAGATTGGATATTGGACTCTGCTCGTTGAAGTTTATTGAGAATTTGGAGATTTATGTCTTGAATGTCTTTCTCCAGGCAATATTTCCTTTCCACTGTCTTGCTTACTGATCAGCAGCTTGCTGCTGCTCCAGGCCGGCTACAATATTATGGTTTCAGTGTCAGTCATGCAGAGTCAGTTGTCTTCTGATTTGAGAATTATGGTTGGCTGTACCAGTGTAAAGTGACATGCTTTGGCATCATACAGTTGTAGGATCAGGGAGCAATAACACTGAAAGCTATGTGAAGATTCCACCCTCATAGAGGTTTCCTGGTTACATTTGGGGCTGTGGTGTAAAATACATGAACTGCACACAGTATAGGTAAGAAAGTGTGAGAAGCGTGCATTTATAAATATAACCACACGTATTTATAGTTCATACAATTTTATAGTAGATGTGAGAAATTGTTACTTTTTTAAACACAGATTTATGAATGATTTCTTATTTGGGACGCTAGGTAGCCAAAAGAATAATGGTACCCTAATGTGTTTCTTTTAACTTTTTGGAAAATAATGATGACATTAGTCATCATCAGAACTAAAGGACTACTTTAAAGTAGATTCAAAAACGTCAATTTATATGCTTGTTAGAAATTAATTTATGATGAGTAAAGCCCCAAACCCAAATCTTAATTTTATTTTTGAATATAGTTAAGATTTGCCAAGTGAAGGTAGAGGTGTAGGTAACCTCTGGGCCCATGACAGTAGTGATGGTGAGGAGATGAGGAGATGAATATCTACGACCCAACCCCACACCATGACTATGAAAAGAACTTCTTAGTCTTATCTTCATTGTTTAGGTCTTTGGATTTTCCAGCCCCTATTTTGTATGGGTCCTGAATTAAACCTAGTTACTTTCATGGTACAACCTTTATTTTCTTCCTCTGCTTTAAAACATTGGTTGTGGTTTTTTACTTCCTCTTCATACCTGTTGTTACACTAGTTTTAGACACCACTCTCACCGCTAGTTGCCTGGGCCAGCTGCCAATATTGATGGCCAAAATAGGCAATTTAGTAAAAACTGGTGGTAATGGCATGTGTGTGTATGTGGTAATAAAATGCAGTATTACCATTTATCTTTTACGTAATGTTTTTAGAAAACTATATTTTGGATAAACTTACTAAAACTTCTTTTAGTCAATGAAACTGCGTATCATCTATTGCAGATGTTCTTGGTACAACGTTTCTCCTATGAGGGACTAAAAATGACTGGGTCTCTTGAAACTGGAAACAGACTCTCACTCTTTCAGTAGTATATAAACACACTGGAGGGCTCACTCTTACCAGAAGTGCTTCAGAAATACGGTACATCACCTAGTGCAATATGGGGGAAAGCTTCAGAGCCATAGAATCCTTTTTCCTGCATATTTAAAATGCCAAATACCATAATCGTCCACTTAGGTCATTTTGGAACATAGAGCAGGACTACTGAACACTTAAATTTTCACATTATCTTGGATAGTTCATTGTTTTTCTGGGGTTTAGGAACACGTGGTGAAGATATGTCTCAAATTCCTTTCTTTTGAACGACTGGGTCTGCTTTGCTTAATGTAACTTTACAACAAAGTGGATGTTTATGCTGGTAAATATCCACAAAGTTTTGGGAAGGCCGGAATGGAAGTCTGCCTAATTCAGTGTATAATTTTGTGGGCAAAGATAACGTAACAGAAAGTACATCTTGATATTTGGGGAAAGAATATCGTTTTGCCAAAGATGTTTCCTTAAAGTATAGGTTGCAAACTCTTGGACAGAATCTGGCCTGGGGAGACATGTTTTGCTTGGCTTTCACAGTATTAAAAAAAAAAGTAAAACAGAAATGAGTTTGGCCTCCTAATTCGGAGACTGTGTTCTCTGGTTGTCCACACCACCTTCCACTGCTTATTGCCTTAGTTATTCCCATTAATCTTGGGGTCATGAGTTAATTGTCTTGTGACTCTTGCTAAATGAAAGCTGTTAGCAGTCTGTGATTTGTGTACCTCATCCTTTTAAGTTGCTGTCAGACTGGGAAGATGAACCTCCTTTTCTTCCCCTTTCTTCTTATTCTTAGCTCCAGTTCCAATTCGGGCAATAGCAGGCTTCAGGTGGACTTTGGAAAAGGACAAATGGAAGGATGGGAGGAAAGCCCCTCTATGCTCTCCAGTGGTGGTCAGTGGTCCTTGGCTGTCAGAAGGGATAGAGAGAACCAAGGGAAAGCCTCCTCACTGTCAGTCTGTGGCCAGGGGACGAGGAGCAAATAAAACTTACTACTCACCTTGCCTTCCTGTCTGCTTGCTTCTTGCCCCTGTATTTTTCAGACATTTGCAGCTGAGGCCAGTTTATCCCTACTCATTCATTCAGCAAATACTTTGAGGTCTGCTGAATGTGGAACGTCATATACCCTGCCAGCGGTAGGCAGTGGGGGAAGATACAATGAAAATAAAACAAGAATTCACCACTGTCATGGGTTTGCATTTCACGAATGTGGTTTTAGCTGCTTTGTGAGACTCTCACATTTCATCTGTATCCTTTCTCACCCAGCCTTATTGTCGCCTTAGAATTATTATTCTTATTTTTCTTTTCTTTTCTTTTTTGGTTTTTTTGAAACAGAATCTTGCTCTATTACCGAGGCTACAGTACAGCGGCGTGATCTTGGCTCACTGCAACCTCCGCCCCTGGGGTTCAAGCGATTCTCCTGCCTCAACTTCCTGAGTAGCTGGGATTACAAGCGTGTACCACCATGCCCAGCTAATTTTTGTATTTTTAGTAGAGACAAGGTTTCACCATGTTGGTCAGGCTGGTCTCGAACTCCTAACCTCGTGATTCGCCTGCCTTGGCCTCCCAAAGTACTGGGATTACAGGCATGAGCCACCACGCCCAGCCTATTATTCTTATCTCTTAAAGGGTATCTCTTCTGTTCAGAGTAAACAGTGGTTGCTTAACACTTTCTTCTGGATGTCAAGTAGATTATTTTTAGAGGCCTGCTTTTTTTTTTTTTGAGTGATCAGGATGATTTTCAGCATTTTTAAAAAAATAGGCTCTGTTAGCTTTAGTCTGTTTTGCTTCCTTTGCTGATCTTTGAATAGGGTGATATCAGTTCGTACAGGCTTAGTTTCCCATAACCAGGGTGTGGGTTCGCTTTGCTTCCGCTCTCAATTTGTTCACTGGGGGGAATCTCCTAC